TCAGATTTTTTCCCCATATTTGGAAGTTTTCTGCTGTTACTTCTGCCCATTTTTTTATACCATTTGTATTGACTCCTTCCTTCTCATTGATGCCTATTAGTCTCACACTGTTCATCCTTGCATCGTCTTGCACATGTTGAATTATTTTTTCCTGTATCCTAGTTGTTTTTAAGAGATCTTTTCTTACCTTTTCCCTAGCTGCATCAATGTCTTCAATGTCTGAAAGTCTATCTTCATTTTCATTCAATAGTTTTTGCCAGCTTGTGATGGAAGTTTTAGTTTCTGTATATCTTTTTGAATCTGCTTCATACATTTGTTTATTTGTTTCCTATATTGCTCATTGAAGGATTCCATCATTCTTTTCTTCTCTATTTTTTATCAGTGTTGTCTTTAGAAGCACTTAGTTATTCTTTCATTATAGTTATTTCTTTTTTTACTTCATGAATTGTTTCTGATCTGATTTCCTCTACACCTTTCTTCAGTTATTTCTTTACTTCAAATTGCTATTATTTCAGATATTTCAGGGGTGTGATTTTTAATTTTTTATATGCTAGTGTCTGTTCCATTTGTTCGAGGTAGACTGGAGAGCTAAGAATGTATGTTGTTCCTCGTTGTCATTTTGCAGAGAACAGTCCTCTGACCTTTCGTGTAGAGCTTTGGTGTAGTTACTACCTTAGCACCTAAAAATATCATTACCCAAGAGAGAGTATGTGGTTCAGGTATTTATAGTACTTACAGAACTACAATTACCAACACTAATGATGGGTAGTGAGATTTAACAGTTTACAAACTTTTGTAACAAATGGTTTTGTATTTTAGTCAATAAGAGCAACCATTATGACTGTATAAATAAGCAGATATTAAATTGGAAAATTTTATTTAAAATAGTTCCCTCAAGTTCTGTCTGCTCACCTCCCCTTCAGATACCTGGCATCTTCCAGGCAGTTCACCCCAGTTGCCTGTTGCCCCCTCTCTTGATCAAGAGAGAAAGAGAGGGGATTCTCTTATAGATCAGGGTCTAGCAAAGTGTCTCAGCTTACTGGGTCTGGATCTACCAAGTTCAAACTCATAT